TTGGGGACAGTCCAATTTTAAACCCCACCTTCTTCCCAGCCCAGACTCTCTGTCTATTGTTTGTGCCAGCATCTTGGCAGGGCAGAGGCAGTGGTCTGGTAGAACATGCCTTCAGTCCCTTATATTCTAGAAACTCAGAGGGGACTCTGCCAAAGAAAACATGCAAGTTAATTTGACTCAGCTTTCCATTTGTGAGATGATCAATACCTGAGAAAAACAAAACAATCTGTGCAAGATGAAGAGCGCATTGGTAACCTCCCAGGTCAGGGAGGAAGCCACGTCAGACCCTGCAGCTGCAGACATGGAGCCCAACTGCCGTTTCTGTTTCTCTTCTATGCATGTGCAAGTTCACAGACAAGCAAGTGTATGAGCATATTCATGTACAAACAGGTGTGTGTGTGCATGTTCAAGTGCAAGCAGGTGTATGCACAGGTGTGTGCTTGTTCAAGTGCAAACCAGTGGGTGCACATGTTCACAAGCAAGCAGGTTTGTGCATGTGTGCAGGTGTGTGAGCATGTGTGTGCATGTTTATGTGTAAGCAGGTGTGTGAGCATGTGTGTGCATGTTTATGTGTAAGCAGGTGTGTGAGCATGTGTGTGCATGTTTATGTGTAAGCAGGTGTGTGCGCATGTATGTGTATGTTCATGTGTAAGCAGGTGTGTGTGTGCATGTTCAAGTGCAAGCAGGTGTGTATACATGTTCACAAGCAAACAGGTGTGTGTGCATGTGTGCAGGTGTGTGAGCATGTGTGTGCATGTTCATGGGTAAGCAGGCATGTGTCCTGGTGTGCAGGTGCATATGAAGGCTAGAGGATGATACTGGGTGTCTTCCTCAATGGTTCTTCACCTTTTTTTTTCTTTTTTTGAGACAAGGTCTCTCATTAAAACCGGAGCTCACCAGATCAACCAGACTGTCTGGCCAGCACATCACCAGCTCTGGAATTACAGGATTACAGGTGTGTTCTACAGTGCCCGGCCTTTTACATGGATGCTTGTACTTGTGCAGCAGGTTCCTTACTGACAGCCACTTCCCCAGAGTCCCCAGCTACGGTTCCCATCTATTGCGCTTATTAGAGTCTGCATAAATTATTTTCTCTTCCACATTGTTACTAATTATCTATTGAAGCTTTTTTTGGGCTTAATGAACTGTTTCACTCAGCTAAGTGTTGGGATGACTATAGAAAACACTTACCACAATGTGGGTCTATTCTGGCAGTCTTCTCTTCCTTCCTAAGTTAGTAACCATTTTTTTTTTATTGAGCTAATGTTTGATGTCTTTGGGCAGCCATTCAAGGTAGGAATGACAATCTGTTCTGGATTAATCTATGGATAAAACACTTTTAGCTTTAGTTTGGAGTGAAACCTCAACCTTACTAGCAATTATGCCATGTTTACATAATCTGCTCTGTTTAAAAAAAAACCTTCACTCTTCCCTAATGCCATCACGAGCTGTGGGCAGGCACAGGTATGAATCAGCAGCAGTATAAAAGTTGCCCCCTTTCAAGTATTGAAATAAATTCTGTTTCATGTTGTGGTGGCTTGAAAAAAAAAAGTGGTTCCCCAAAGAGAGTGGAACTATTAGGACGTGTGGCCTTGTTGGAGGAAGTGTGTCATGGTGAAGGTGGGCTTTGAGGTCTCCTATGCTCAAGCTACACCCAGTGACACAGACCATTTCCTGTTACCTGAAGGTCAAGTTGTAGGACCCTCAACTCCATCTCCAGCACCATGTCTGCCTGATGATAATGGACTAAACCTCTCAAAATGTAAGCCACCCCAATGAAATGTTTTTCCTTTATAAGAGTTGCCATGGTCATGGTGTCTCTTCACAGAAATAGAAACCCTAAGACATATATGAGCTGAAAATGTATTTCAGATATGCAAAATTCAGTCATTCAGATTTTCAGTTCTAACTATAATGAAATAAAGGACAGTCTTATTATCTGTGATAATTAATCTTCATTGTCAGTTTGAGTAGATTTGGTATCACCTAGGAGACACATCTCTTTGCTCTGTATACTTAGTGTTTTAATTATGATATGCTACAGGCTGTTTCTTTCTTGGCCTAGTCTAGTTGGGGTCCTGCGTGTTTCTTTTATCAGCACGTGAGTGCCTTTCCTTAGTTTGGGGGAGTTTTCTTCTATGACCTTGTTGAATATTTATGTCACTGACTAGGAGTTCTTCTCCCTCGTTTATGCCTATAATTTAAAAGTTTGATCTTTTCATGGTGTCCCACATGTTCCTTTCCTGCGCTAAATTTCTTTTTCATATTCTTTCCTTATTTCATCTCAATCCTCTACTTTATCTGCAAGTCCTAACATTCTATCTTCTGCTTGATTCTTTCTACTTGTAAGGCTTTCCTTGGGCTTTCTAGAAACATCTTTATTTAAGCGTGTGCTTCCGTCATCATTCTCTTTATTGAATGCCCTGGACTGTTTCCATCAGTCTTAGGCTTGTGTTTTCCTGGGCATCACTCAGGCATTTATTCTCTTTAAGCCCATCAAGTTGCTTCTTTGTGTCTTCTTTAAACCCCTGAATTTTTGGTGACATTTATGAGTATTCTTTTAAATGCTGTGTCTTGGGGTCCATCTAGGCAATTCTTATTGCCAGACACTTCTATAAGACTAGTGGATTTGGGATGTGGGCAGGGAGACATTGCTTTTAATTCTTCATGTCATTTGCATTTTTGCAAGGAGATCTGGGCACGTGAACTTCTTTTGCTCTGTGTCAGAGATGGACAGAGCAGGTTGGGGCAGGAGAGAGGATGGGTGGGTTGGGTTGGGACTAGATTTTTGGATATGGCTTAGGTGTAAGGAAATCAGGTGGACATAGGGAACTGGATGAGATACAGAAGTTGCAATCTGATCCAAGCTTGTAGTTTGAAGTGGATGGTGGGTAGGGGTGCAAAATCTTCAGTGTGTAGCTTTTTCTCTGACAGGCTCAGTATGTCTCCTCCATGTCCTTCAGATTCCACATTCTCACTCTAGGCAGGAGGAAGCAGTAAGGACCACAAAGTGACTGTCAGTCAGTTGGTGACATGGTTTTCTCAACGATAATAATTTTTCTATCATTTCTACCTGGTAGAATGCAGCTTACAGCTCACTGGTCAGAACTGTGTTACTTGCTCATTCTTAACTGCAAAGGCAGCTGGGAAATCCTCCTCACCCAAGGTTTTTCCTATGTAAACGTATCTGATTTTCTCCCCTGGAGACATCCCGGTTTGTTCTGTCACCTCCTACATTGAACATGCTTTAGGCTTGATGCCCTGCCAGAACCTTGGGACACATCTATTTCCACCAGCTGAAGAGTTTCTTTCCCCTCTTTCAGAGTACAGCCTCTGCTTCTTTAGCTCTTGTCAGGCCATGCACATCCATCTACAGCTTTTGGAATAGGAAAGTAAAAATTTCAAGGTGTTGCATGTTAGATAGCTTGTATAGTGTGTCACACTTGGATGGTAGCTGAACTGAGTAAACTATTAGATTGACAATATTTTTTCCTTTGGCTTTGGAAAAATGTGCTGTCTAAGGATTTGTTTGAGAAGTGTGATGTCATGCTTACCCTAGAATTTGTACCTATATATTTTTAATCTCTCAGAACTTTTTGATATGATATGAAGGGGATTTTAAAGAATTTTTGTTGTATTGGGTACTGAGGGCTTTTTAAATCTGGAGGAATATGTCCTTCAAATCTAGGAGATTTTTCATAGCACTCCTTTGACCATTTCTTAAGTTCTACTCTCTGTAGTGACTAATATGTTGTGCCTCTTGGATTATCTTTTGTATTGTCTTACTTTTATCTTCTGGTGCCTTGTGTTTGCTAGACAAATGCTCCAATACTGAGCTAAATCCCCAGTTATTTCACTTTCTTGTAATTTGTCTCTCCATGATATATCTTTCATTTTACTTCTAACTTACCTGCATTGTTTATGCAATGTACATCTCTGGTAAATACACACAGTAGAATATTTCATTCAATCTGACAATCATTGCCTTTTAATAGACCTAGTTAGTCCATTCATATTTAATGTAATTATTGGTATAGTCTGGGTTCAAGCCACACTAATGTATTGTATTTGCTTTTTGTGATCTTTTTCCTTTGGTACCATTTTTTTCCTGAAATCTATTAATTTAATCGAATACTTGCTCTAGTTGCCTTTCAATTGCTATGATAAAGCACTATAACCAAAAGCAACTTAGGGGAGGAAATGGCTTATTTAACATACATTTTCAGACATTCTTCTCCAGGCTCTAATCTGCTCAATACTACCTTCTACTCACTCTCCTCAAAACCCCTAGATCTAGCCTGGGTCCCATGACCAGTGCCCTAGCCTAGTCTGGCTAGCCTGTGCTACCACCAATCCCTAGGCTATCAACAGTACCTGCTCTTCCTATCCCCAACCTACAGGTCTCTCCCACACCACAGCCAACAGCTCCATCCTATGGTGCCCTGCACATCTGCCTCTAGGCTCTGCCCAGATAACCAGGTACACCAATAGGGTGAGGTTGGTCCCTACCATGGCTGTACCTTCTTTCCTTACTCTGACTACGTCCTACTGACAATCTGCACACTGATGAAATCTCCTAACATTTGCTTGCATGCTCCCTAACAAAAGCAGTTTCCTAGGGGACCACTCTCTTGGTTGCTCACCTGTTTGGTTGAGCCTGCTTCCTATGTACTTCTTCCCTAGGGCATCTGGTATGGTTGGCAAACCTTCCTCTTTGAGATCTCTGATTATGACAAATCCTTTAATCTCATAGAATGTTATGAGTATGATTTCCATCACACTGTCACAGTGGTCCTTAATGACCCCACAAGGGAACCCTGCTCCCTCATTCACAACAGAGAGGGAATGTAAAGGCCCCGTTTTTCAAGATCAAAATGAAATAATAGGGACTGGGGAGATGGCCCAGTCTACCAAGTGTTTGTCGTGCATGCATGAGGACCTGAGTTCAATCCTCAGAACTCATGTGAAAATGCCAACTGAGGCAGTGTGTACCTGTTAGTCCAGTGCTGGGAGCAGAGACAGGAGGATGACTGGGACTTGCTGGTGAGCCACATCAGTGAGCTCCGGGTTCAGTGGGAGAGCTTGTCTCACATTCATACACACATACTTGTACATGCACTCAACTCCCACATGCGTACGTACACACACAAAAGCAGTACTATAGACTTGCTTTGACAACATGGAGAGAAACATCGTTGTTGGCCAAGCAGAAGAGAATCGCCTCTTAATAAAGTTGTCAGAACACAAAGGAGAGATGGAAGTATGGCATTGTGGAAGGAAAAACAGATTTCATGACCCTTGCTAGTCAACTCTCAGTTACTGTAGCAAATACTTGCGATCATCACCTTACAAGAAGCAAGGTTTACTGCAGTTCTCATCCTCAAAGCTTCCACCCACGGCCAATCAGTCCTGCTGTTTGGGGCCTAGGGTAAGGGGTCCATGGTAGAGCAAAACCAGTCTCTTCTTGGAGGGGAAGTGAAAGGGAGGAGGAAGAGTCCAGGGTGCCGTAGTCTCCCTCAAGTGCACGCCCTTCATGACAGAAATACTTCCTAGTAGGTCACACCTTGTAAAGATCCCACAATCTTCAGTTGCCCAAGGGACTAATCCTTTAATGTATATGCGGGCCTTTGGACATTCTAGGAGCAACTAATGCGACACCCTTTCCACCCACTGCCATGCCCTTGTCATATAAAGGAGAAGCAGGAAAGCGATAACTGGACATCTAGCACTAAGATAAGTCTGTCGATGGAACCTCACTTCCCAGGACAGAATGGTATTATTTTGCCTCACAGAACCATCACTCTTTACATCTTTCTTCCATCCTGACTCAACATGCTTTTGGAAATAAATGGTCTGAGACACATCACTCATCCCTCCTGCTCGCCACACGACTCTCACGTCTCATATTTAACCCTGAGCCCTGCGGACTCAGGTGTCTCGTCCAAACAGATTTGATGCAGCAGCACGAGTGTTTTTAGAGAAAAAAATCTCAAAATCTAATTGCTGGCAGCAAGAACCTTCAGCTTTTTCAGCTGTAGGTGGATGCTGTACACACAGACACCTTTAAATTTTTAATTTTAAATCCCTTGAGTTCTTGAGAAGACATTAGGTGAGCTGAGGGCAATTTTTGTTATTTGGAACATTCTATTCTTAGTAAAATTAGCTATGCTCCCAAACAGGAAGGGGAAAATGCCAGCAAATTGCCAGTTATTGTATCTCTTTGGTTCTTGTAAGCATGACGAGGTGCACTTCTGTTGGTATTCAACATGGAGCTTGTAGAGGATGGTCACTTGGTCCTTGGCTATCTTGTTGTCAAGTTGGGGTTGGATCTCAGGTTTACTGACTCTCTTTTCTCTCTTTTACTCTACTGCAGGAGTCTTGGCATCTTCATAGCTGTGTAATCTCATCCAGGGAATCATAGGTCATTTGGATGACGGCTTGAACTCAAGTCTTTGCCTGTGTCTCTATTTTGTGTCTTAGATAACATCATTTAGAGGGAATTGAGAATGAATTTCTGGAGACCCCTATTCCCGATTGATAAGACATGAAGTGGAGATTCCCAAGCAGAACTGGAGTACCACTTTAGGTACCTGTAAGTTAATTAAAGTACTCTGTTACATTTCTGATCCACTTTCCAACTGGTTTGTTTTCTTTGGCAACAGAGAGAGACTGCCTCAAAAGTAGGAACAAATCAAAGCAAGCAAACAATAATGGGGGCCCACTAACATCCTCTATAAAATTACTTTCCAGCTATGTGCATAAGTGTGTATGAAACAAATTTAATTAAAACATTGTGGTGTGTGAGCCGGGCGGTGGTGGCGCACGCCTTTAATCCCAGCACTCGGGAGGCAGAGGCAGGCGGATCTCTGTGAGTTCGAGGCTGGGCTGGACCGATAGCCTCCAAAACAATACAGAGAAACCCTGTCTCGAAAAAACCAAAAAAAAATTGTGGTGTGTGTGTGTGTGTGTGTGTGTGTGCACGGGCGCGCATGCGTGCATGCCACAGAAAAATTCCTGGAGATCAGAGGACAACTCTCTGGAGTTTGTTTCCTCTCCTATCTTTATGTAGGTTCTGGGGATTAAATTAAGGTCATTTGGCTTGTATATAAAGTGTTTTTACCTGATGAAACATCTCTCTGTGACCACAAGTTTGTGTTTAGATATGGTGCACTATCCAACATTTTCTATCATTTATATACATGAAAAAAAATTCTAAAATCTGAAAAGAATCTGAAACACTTCTGATGCCAAGCTTTTTGCATAAGAACTTTTCCATGTCTATTGTTCCTAGGGCCTCAGGGGATGCCAATAACCAGCAGTGTGTTACAAAGATCATCACAAATTCCAAATATACGAATAACTGTATTGTTTCATTTTCAATTTGTCTGTCCACTGATTTTGTGAATCACAATCCAGGTTCTCTGGTGACCTCCATAGATCACTGTCTTCAAGTTGAAATAAATCTCCATGAGAATTATGGCTAGGTAGGTAATGTATGTGGTGTGGTTGGGTGTAACCATGATCTGGAAAGTGAACCAATATAACGCATCCCATGCAGACTAATATCTGGTCAGACTCATCCATTACCAGCTCTGCCCGGGATCTGAGGGGATTTGAGGAAAAGGACCCGGTGTATACTGGAGCCCAGGTGTGCAGTAATTTCTCAAAGGTGACACCTTGGGGGAGGATGACATTGAGGGATGCATGCTTGTCCTTAGACCTGTGGGCTTCTGAGTCTCTACACTGCGCACTGATGGCCTGGGAGAGAGCAGAGGCACTGAGCAGGGTGGTGCATTGTGGTTTTTGGGATAGCTCTGAGGCACCCTCACTGTCACTTCTTTCAGTAAAAGTCATTTAAAAATGTGAAATGTAAAGTTTAGTGTGCTTTTATAAGAGTGTTTGAACAGAAAAAACCATACATATTAGAAAATACAACTTTATGCCAGACTCAGAGAAATACCCTCCTTTCTCTTACATGTAGACTCTAGATGTCTGTGTGTGTGTGTTCACACCTGCGCCCACCTGTCTCTCTTCCTCAGCAATGGGCGTAGGAGTATACACACCTTCACTCCCAAATGCTTTTGGTGTGAATGCTGAGGATCAAAGTCAGGTCCCCGTGATTGCAAGGCAAGCTCTTTACAGCCAAGCTACTTCCCTAGACCGCAGGCTATTCCCCTTCTTTGGGTATATCACACATCAGTGCCTATTAGTTAGTTTCTTATGTATTTTCCCATAGATTATCATGATCACTGCCTGGGTGAGAGCCACTGAGAAGTAAATATGTTGAGATCCAGGGAAGAGGGGTTCCAGGTGGGCTGCTGCAGCACCACAGACAGGGCAGACATTAGGGCTGAACCTCCCTTTTAAAAGGCAAGTCTCTTTTTCCAGGGCAACCTCAGGATTGCAGGAAAACAAAAGACTCAGAATGTTCCCACGTAGACACAGCCTCCCCGACGACCAGCATGCCCGAGAAGGTGACTCAGTCTATACCACTGAAGAGCCAGCATTCGCTCATCTCTGTAGACCATCCTTTCCAGTGGGGTTCACTCCAATGCAAGGTTGGATGTGCAGGCTCAATGCCAATGTCCACACCAGGCTGGCTGCAGGTGGTAGACCCTACGCCACCTTTTCCCTTCCTGTTTCAAAGCTCTTATACTTCCCGACTGTCCCTTGAACAATGCTTTAGTGCAGAAGGCCACCCCATATGGACCTGCGTTGCCAAGGCACATCTGATGGACTTCTTGTGGCTGCCCAGCTCCTCTCCACGCTGGGACTTTTGATTGTCTCTTTCTTGGCGAGGCTGGTACTTCTCAAGGTCCTATCTTGTTATTAATGTATGAATGTGGAGTGAGCTGCTAACGGAGGCAGGAGAAAGCTGTGGGAGACAGACTCACACACAAAGGGAGGACACTCACAGTCGGAATTTCAATGAGGAGGTGTGGGCCAACTAAAGGGGTAGACACTCCTAAGCTGGCTGACGTCAAGGTACCTCTGAAATCACAGCAGGAAGCCTCCAACTCCACCTGTGTTAGACCAGGGCACATCCAGAAGGTGCATCTTGGACTCCCCTGAGTGTTTCTCAACCTGGTTAATATGACAATCAACATTAGCCAGCCCTCTCTCCCTCCCTCCTTCCTCCCTAGCTTCTTTGTCTTCCTTCTTTCATTGAGAAGATGAACAAACTCCTCAGTTCAGGTCTCCTAAGGCTGGAGGCACTGGTGGGCTAACGAAGTCTAATGATTGGCTTTCTGGGGAAAAGAGTTTGTGACTTTATTGACATAAACAATGGGTGACATACTGTTTATGACTAGTAATAAAATATATACTTAGTTAAAAATTCCATGCTATCAATAGACTCACAAAATGCTTCTGTTGGCTTTTGCTGAGGTCATATATCCAAGGCCAACCTTTGCTGCAATTCAACCGCATCAAGAGTCACAAAGTTGATCCCAGCCTGTCAAATCCCTTCATAATCAGTTTATCATAATACCTGCTCTGTAGTCAGTCTGCTGCTGTTTATCACTGCATGTGGGTTATGACTTTGAAACTGAGAGATCCTTTGGCTGCAGAAATGTTTGTAATGCAAGTCTGCAAATAACGGTTTCTTTAAGACCTTGCAAATTCCTGAACATTTCACTCTTAGCTCATGTCGATGTGGGAGCCTGCTCCTGCCTCTGGGAGTGCCGGCGATTCTTCTCACGGTTTTTCTCTAACCACCATTGCTCTCTGTCATGCTTTGTGTGGGGAGTCTGCTGACATCGGATAACTTCCAGTCCTCTATGCCTAGAAACCAGCTACCAGAGCACACTGGGCCTTCTGAGTGGAGCTCTGGCCTCTTTGTGTGGTGACAGCACCCCTCAAAACCACCAGATGCCAGCCATTCACCTCCCAACTCAGGCAGAGGTGTGCTTAGTCCTTGAGGAACAAGCAGAGACACAGAGGAGGGCAGGAGCTTAGAGCAAGGCTTTTGAGTCCATTTTCTCCAGCCTTTGGGTCTTTCCATCTGCTTGACACAGCGTCCGTGACGTGACTGTCCAGAGTCGGCATGACAGTCACAGCCCTTCTCAGTCCTGTGCCTTGATCACTTTCCTTCCTCACATCCTGAGTCTGGTTTGTCACAAAAGCCAATTCTAAGAGGAAGGATAAGAAGATTTAAAAAAAAAAGAACCTATAAATAGCATGAGTAATAACATCAGCATATATGTAGAGAAGAAAAGGAAAAAGGGCCCCAATATGTTTCTTTATTCTTTGTGTATTGACTTCCCACCCAGAACCTGCAATTCCATATTGCTGCTATGTAGCAGCTCAGGCTCTTCCAGGACTCAGTCAACTAAGAGCACATGACTTCCCCTTCCAGATTGTCTATTGACTGGGCAGCCAATCACCCTGTTTTTGCCAGTTGGCTGCAGAGAGTTGTATTTAATTTCCAGTATGGTTAATGCAACCATTACTAACTCTGTGGTTTTAGGAAGAATAAGTAAGAAACTGTATCAATCACTTTTCTCATAAATGTGACCATGACAAGAAGCATCTTAAAGGCAGGAGGGCTCATTCGGACTCCCAGTTTAAGGGTCAAGGAAGGAGTGGCCCCGACAGTGGCAGTAGGAGGCCTCTTGCTTAGTGGTAGACCGGAAATCAGGGGGATTGACGTTGGGGTGGAATTGGCCTTCCTGGGCTGCCTCTTATTCCCTTGAGAAAGTGTCTGTCACTAGCCCCATCCCTCATAGCTTTGGGATTATAGGTATGCACACGACCAGGCCTGACCTTTTGACCTAAATTCTAGGGATTTGATTTCAATTTCTTGTGCTTGCTCAGCAAGCACTCCTACATGATGAACCATCTCCCCAAACTATTTTTTATTAGAAAAATTTAAAAGTTAAGGTAAAATTCATGTGACGTAAAGTCACTTTAACTATTTGAGTTTGCCATCCAGTAATCTTCACTATTCACAGTGTTGCTCAGCCGTTATGGATGTCTGGTTCCAGGACAGTTTTCATCCCAAAGGAAACCCTGGACCACTAACCATCAGCCTCTCTCCCCCTCACTCCAGCCACTAGTGGTGACCACTCATCTGCCTTCTCACTCCAGCCACTAACGGTGACCACTCATCTGTCTGGGTTTTCATAGATGCACTATTCCACCACTCCTGGCATTTTGCTCATTTAGCATGTTTCCAAGGTCTATCCTATATCATGAATTACTTTTCAACTCTGGAGAAAGGTAAGTCACAGACCCACTGCTCCTGTTAGATTTCTCCATCTCCCCCATTTTACTTGTTTGTCTGTGAAACAGTGGTCATCGCAAACTCAAATTTGATGCCGTAGTCCGATTCCCGGAAAATGGGCAAAGGGAACTAAAAGAAATAAAGAACATTACCCATCTCAGACAAGCAACTGTTCCTTCAGACAGGCCAGCTGTTTTGTAAGTCTTGGTTATGTTTTAGTTTAGATCCGCCTATGGATGGCTTGCTGTTGGCAAGGTCTCGGGTGAGTAGCGGTGGACTTGATACTGTCTCTTTAATGGGATCTTACTTTCCGATGGACACAGGGGAGCAGCAGACAAAGCTATGGCAATAAAGAAATAAAGAGCCACAACAGAAACCCATGGGCTCACAGAGCAGATGCTT